GTTTAGACTTTTGCTCCCTTCATCTCTCGGTATCTGCTGAGACTGCAGATGGAAATCCTGGTTAACGCCAGCTGGAGTAGGTACCACCGTGTGCAGGCAGAGCCACGCGCCGAGCTGCCCCTGAAATTTCAGGCTATTCCAAAAGTTACCCCACCTGGTAACGCCGGGGCACACCGCTGACATTGCTTGGCCAGAACTGAGACGTGAAAAAGTGTCACCACCCCAGCAGCGCCGCCTGCTCACCTCCAGCGGGTAACTTGTCCCACCGACACCCTTCCCCTGCGCCTGATTCCTCGGGCTTTTCCTCCGTATTCTGCACCTTCTCAGACTGTTGTCTGTGACGAGCAAGTTACTTGCGTTAGGGGGGAAAAAAAAAACCCCAAACTGATTCCTTAAGTGCTAGGAGGGCTCCACAACCCACGGCTCTGGAGCTAGCTGGCAACTCCAAACGTGCAGCCCAAATAGCTGTGGGTTAAATCTAAGGCGCTGCAGGGAAATTAGGAATTGGTCTGGTTTCCTTTCCTTTCACACCTCTTCTGTGGCATCTCTGAGCACCCTCTCGCATATCAGTAACACGAACCCTTCTGGTTTTATTACCTGATGAAGGTGAGAAGTAACGGATCAGAGCTAGAGCTCATGTTTTAGACATGAAAATGGGCGAACGAGGTTAATTAAATGGGAAGTGTTGAACTCTATTTGGTTTTCGTTCAGTTATAATTTTACCAGGGTTGAGGTAAATGCAAAGATGTGTCAGGGCTGAAAAGTTTTACACAGACCGTTCCTGAAGTTAATGAAGTGTGCAGTGTTCGACATCTGCAGCTGCTAAAAGAGCCTGTTATCAATGTGGAAGGGATGTGATGTTTACAGTAAGAAATAGAACTGTTTTAAGAAATAGAATTGTTTGCTGATAAAAAGATAGATATAATTATCATAAGTTAGTCATTTAAAGGATTGAACTAAAGCTGTTCTAATTAAGCTAAATTAGCCCTTCAGTTCAAATACAGAAATATGTTTCTGGCAGAAAAGTAGGTCTAACTTATTCTTCATTTACATGGGTGGCAACATTCTCCAGAAATCATCAGCCCAGCTCTGCTTCAAAGCATGAGTTCAAAATAAGGCCAGTATATACGGATTTCTTTACCTTCTGGTTTCTGAATCTTCAGGCAACGTCTAAGTGAAGTGTCCAGTTTCTGCTGTCTTCTGGAGCACGAAAAACTAAAACCGTGTTTAAATATTGGGATTTTTGTGGAGTCTCATGATATCCTGCAGCTTGAGCGTTCGGGAAGAAAAAAAATTATCTGGTCTTTAAATTATAAGGGGTAAAAAGATGAGAAAGGCCTGACCACCACCTTA